CCCCCCGTCAGGCCAGGAACTTCTCCACCTCCTTCCCCGCGGTGTCCCCCACCATGACCCCCTCTCCCCCTCCCTCCCCACTGCGCAGCCCAAGCACACCCTAGTCCTGAGCAGGGTGTGGAAGGAACAGCTAGGGGCTGTGTCCAGTGCACGTTTCAGACATCGCTGTGTCTTGGTCAGTGATTCTCACCTGTCATGGTAGACATCAGCTCTGTGGTTTTTCCTGGGGTCCCCACAGATGTTCCCGTCCTGAGGTCCCCAGACGCTCCGGCCCCCCTGGTCCGTCCTGGGGTCCCCGCAGATGCTCTGGCCCTGTGGCCCGTCCTGGGGTCCCCTCAGACACTCCAGCCCCCACAGTCCATCCTGGGGGTACCTTGTGCTTGGTGGCGGTGAGCTGAGCTGCTGCTGTGTGCTATGGTGGTGCTCAGATGTCACCTGCTATGCCCCAGTCAGACTCTGTCCTGGGCAGGGTGGTCATCTCCTGCTAGCACCCTCGGGAAGGGGCCTGCCCCTCCCCCAGTGCCTCAGGCCTCTGCCCGAGGTCTCTGGGGCACGCGTCTCCCTGCACAGCTTCCTGCCAGCTTGGGTGTCTGTCCAGCAGCCCAATATCAAAGAGAACCCTGGCCCCGGAGCACGTGTTGGTTACCTGCTGGTCCTGGGTTCGTGACCGCGGCTTCAGGGACAGGTTCTCCCCCTCGGGGAAGGTGCCACCCTCCCAGCCCCTCCCACGAGCCGGTGGCAGCCGCTTGTGGCCCTCGTTCTTCCTCTTCCTGCTCAGATGCCCCCTCTGCCCTTGCCTCCAGGTCTGCCTCTGCCCGCAGCCAGGCCTCGCCTGGCGACTTGGGTTGGCCAGCACGCAGTGTTGCTGTGCTGTTTGCCTTTTGCCCAGGGTTTTCCAGGTTTCCCTCGGGAGGTGTGTTTCCCTGCTAATGCATGCCGGACCGCAGCTCCTTTCTGGCCCCAGCTGTGTGTGGAGCGTGGCAGCGGGGCTGCGGCCACCCCGCGTGCCTCTCCCCACCTGGCTCCCGGAGCCCTGGCTGCTGGAGGGGCAGCGGGCCAGTGTGCTGCGGCTGCGGCTGCGGCGGCTGCAGGGAGCTTGCTGGCTATTGCCTCCCCGGGGGCCATGGCCTCAGCCTTCCCGACACCTCTTGCCCTCTCTCCGTCCCCTAGGTGACCCTGGCCAAGATGAGGGTCCATGTGTCCTCCTGCCTGAAGGTCCAGGAGCAGATGGCCAACTGCCCCAAGTTTGTTCCTGTGGTGCCCACATCCCAGCCTATTCCCAGGTAGGCAGCCCTCGGGGCGGGGTGGGGGCAGGCCGGGCCGGGCTCGGGGAGCTGTGGCCAGAGTGCCTGTCGTGTGGGCTGCACAGTCCCCTCTCTGCCCGCAGCCCCTTGTGGAGACCAACCGGACTGGTAGACAAGGCGAGAGCCAGCCGGCCCCCGCTGCCTCGTTCCCGCCTGCTAGCAGTGTGGCTCCTGCAGGCTGGGCCTCGCGGTGTTGGAGAGAGATGGGGGCGGCACCCAGCCTTATTCCCTCTCTTCCCACCCCGCCAGCAACATCCCCAATAGGTCCACATTCACCTGCCCCTACTGTGGCGCCCGAAACCTGGACCAGCAGGAGCTGGTGAAGCACTGCGTGGAGAGTCACCGCAGCGACCCCAACCGCGTGGTGAGCACCAGAGTCCACACCTCTCCCCACCCCGCCCATGCGTGGTGAGCACAGAGCTCATGCTGCTGTGTGAGTCTGGGGCACCGCCCCGCCCCACCGCCCGGGGCCTCCTCCCAGGCCCAGGCTGCCTGGAAACCTGTCGCCTGCGGGCCTTCCGTTGCAGGTGTGTCCTATCTGCTCCGCCATGCCCTGGGGCGACCCCAGCTACAAGAGCGCCAACTTCCTGCAGCACCTGCTGCATCGGCACAAGTTCTCGTACGACACCTTTGTGGTAGGCCACCTTCCTGCCTTCCTCCTCCTCGCCCCCACTCTCTGTCTCTCCTTCCATCCTCCTCCTACCCTGGGACTCACCCACAGCTCCTGTATGCCCCTCCTGACCAGCGTTAAAGGCCCCCATTCTGAGCAGGCAGGTGGACCAAGCTCCCTTTGAGCTGTGACGTGCCAAGATTAAGTGGACACTGGAGGGCGCCACACACCCACGCTGCCCAGACTTGGGCCCGTGTTCAGTGGGCCTTGGCCTCCAGGACGGCCTCCTGGGCGTGGCCGTGTGTTTTCTAACATGCTTGTGGAGAAAAGCTGGAGAAACTTGGCCCAGAGCACACTAGGTCCTCACCTCCGTCCCCTCCCTGAGCTGCAGGGGTCAGGCAGCCTGCAGACCCCTCACCAAATCTCTGGTGCAGCTCCTTCCCATGGCCTGGCTTACTCCATCAGCTCCTCACGGCCTCTGGCTGCCTGGCCCTCCACTCGGCCCACCCTTAGGCAGCCGCATCCTCACAGCCCAGGCCCTCCGTCCCATGCCTGCCCTGTCAGCCCTGGCCACGTGTCTGCAGACCGCCCTTGGGGAGCCTGTTGAGGCAGACTGGGAAGGCAAGCAGGCCTGATGTGGACAGGTGCCAGTATCCCCAACAAGGGTAGTGCAGGGAGTGGGAATGGGGTAAACCTGGCAGGGAGGTGGAGGGCTTGCATGCCCAGCCCATTTCCACTTCCTGTTTCCAGGACTATAGCATTGATGAAGAAGCCGCCTTCCAGGCTGCCCTGGCCCTGTCTCTCTCTGAGAACTGAAGGCATGCCCAGCAGCCTGCCCGAGCCTGGGGTCGAGGCGCCCTCTCCCCGAGGACAGGGCTGGAGCTCCCACCCCGGCACTCGCACAGGAAACACCTTGCAGGCCAGGTGGAGTCATCCTGCACGAGGAGGGCCGTCCAAGGGCCACCGGAGCCTGGACACTAGCCAGCCAGTCTTTGCTGACCAGCAGAGAAGCAGGGTTATCGGTGCTTTGAGGGGCAGTGCTGGCCCGTTGGGTTAACGCAGTCGGCCATCTCCTCCGAGCCTCGAGGTGGAGAGTATGTGGTGTGCAAGATGTGCGCCCCACTGCCGGACAGCAGGAGGAGACCTGAGGCTGAGCCAGCCAGCATCTGGCCACGCCCCCCTGCGCCTTTGGTACTGGCTTTGTGATACTTAGAATCCTGGCATTTTTTCTATCTTACCCCGCGTGATAATCTTTTCACATTTTATAGAGCAGAGACAAAGCAGTTACTCTTCATATTGCAATATCTGTGTTTGACTAGGATGAATAGTATTTTTATGGAACATTAACAAAGTTATATTTTTAAAAAAAAACATTAAAAATAGCCGTTGTTTGGGATCAGCGCCGAGAGGGTCAGGATGGCGGGCACGCTCAGCCCAGCCGGGCCTGGGCCTGGGCCTGTGTGCAGGGCAGGTGTCCCAGCCCCGGCCACCCGTCGGGGGGTGGGGGGTTGTTTTTTGTGGGTCTTGTCATCTGCTGGCTTAACTTTTATGACAAACAGGAAGAAGCCCGGTGCCCCTGGAGGTGTGCTCTGGCGGGCCCAGCGTGCAGGGGGCCCCGCCCGGCACTTACTGGGGCAGGGTGCTCCCCAGCAGCAGCCAGAGAACCCTCGTCAGCACTCCTTTTCTGTTCATGGCATAAATTATTGCTGTCTTTTCGAAAACGTTTAAATAAAACATTTCCAAGCACCCGTGCGAGTCTGGCAGTGGAGTTCCTCAGTCTTCAGCACGGCTCTGCCGGGGGCCACCCCCGGGACTGGCCCCCTGTGCCCGGGCCCAGCCTTCCCTGCAGAGCCGTGAGGTCTGGACGCCGCTCTGAAGCACCCTTTTCTCCTTCCCGGGCCGGGGTCTTGGTGCGGTGCATCGGGCCGACTGCTTCCAGCTTCCTGAGGACCACCAGGTGTCCTGTTGACTTGCAGGTCACTGGAAGGCTGAACAGTCACCTGATGGCCAGTCCTTGTAGGTGGTTGCTGTGGCCTCTTACCATCCTTCCCAGATGGGGCAGAGACAGATCTGTTCTGGACGGTTTGTTCTAAGAAGTGTGTTCTCCAGCAAAATCTATAGCCTGGGCCAGGCAAACCCAGGTCACCCATAACTATAACTCAGCAGGGCCAGCACCGGGCGAAGCTGCCTGCAGATGCCCCGTGAGGGCTGCTGGGCCCCCCACTTGCATGTTTTCTGTGGCTGGGGGCCCTCAGCAGTGCTGGGCCTCAGTCAGACAGCCTGACTTCCCACTGCCTTCTGGGAGGCAACCAGAGATGGCCCAGGCCGGTTGTCTGCATCTCAGGCCCTGCAGGCTTTGTGCCCGCCCCCTGGCGCCTGGCCAAGCCTGTCGCCCTTGGGCAGGAGCTCACCGCCAGTGGAGCCGGGGGTGCTGCCCCTGCAGGCCTAGGCCTGCCCACTGGCGAGTGACGCAGGTGCCATCCTGCGCGGGACCCTTGGTATCCAGGGCCTGAGGCCGCGTGGGACCAGCCTCAGCCGGCTCTGACCTCAGCAACCTCACCTTTCCATCCACCCTCGGACGGACGTTGCCCAAGCTCTGGGCCCCTGTGGAAACCGCAGTAGCTGAGGCTCTGCGGCTACTTGACCTGGAGCTGTGGACCCTGAGTGCCGTGACCACAGAGGAGGGAGGAGCAGCCAAGGTCACGGTGGCCTCTGGCAGTGCACTGCCCGCGAGGTCAGGGTGTGTACTGAGCAGAGTGAGTGTGGGCTCCAGTTGGGCCGACCCCTGAATGCCCTGGTATCTAGTTCAGGCTCTCAGGGAAGCCACGGAGGAGTGGGAAGGAACCTGTCCTCAGGTACAGCCTGTGACACTCCTGCCGCCACCACCGCCAGACCCAGAAAGCAGGGCCGGTGGGAGCCTCCCTGTGACCACATCTGGCTGGCGGTGGCCAGTCAGTCCTGCGCCCCGGGGTGAACCGTCACCACACGCGCTGCGCTCAGCAGGCCCCACGGGGGAGGCGGCTGGGAACATCCCCAAACCTGTCTGTCCTTTTCCGATCAGCTGACCCACCCTGCCATTGGGAGTCCCTTTCGTGGGCCTCCCACGACCTGCCTCCTTAGGGCTGTCTGGAGCCCAGAGACCACCCTTCAGGGGCCTGGGGTGGGTGGCGGGTGGGACAGCCATCTTCCCTGCTCATGAGGACTGCGCTTCCCAAGCACTGCCACAGGCCTGCACCCCACGGAGGGACCTGCACCCCACGGAGGGGCCTCCCCCAGCCGCGGCCCCTCCACCGGCCGCAGCCCCTCTCGGTGACCGCACGTCCACAGCTCCTCCAGGCCCAAGGGGGAGCCCCGGGTTCTGGAAAGCAGCCAGCATCCCCGCTTCCTCCCACCACCGTGGGAGCCCTGGGGCCTCCACACTGAGGTCCTCCGCAGCGGACAAGGCTGCCCCTCCTGAGGGTCAGCCCGCCTGCAGCTGCCACCAGGCAGCTCCCGCCGCGCCTGTTGGTGCGTGGCAGGCGTGGAGATCCTGAGACCAGAGCTCTGCACCCCAGTCTCCATCTTCCCCCAGCTATGGCCACAGGAAGCCAGCCAGGCCTCACTCTCCACCCCCGCCCCCAAGCCGGGGCCGTGTGCCCCGCAGAGTCCAGGGACTCAGAGGCTCAGCTCGGTGGCGACGCACCTTAGGTTTCAGGTTGTGCAACGTGTGAGCTCACACCCACCTTCTTAGAGAGCACTCCAAAGTGCCAGGGACTCGGGACCTTCTCCATTAGGCAGGAGTCAGGCAGCCAGCCTGAGGCAGACGCTAGATTCACCAGTCCCTGGCTCCCAAGACACTTCCCTATTCCTACTGCAGGGGCTCCTCCTCTCCCCATCCTCCCCTCCTCCCCCCCCCCGTCCCCCTCCTCGCCTCTCCACCTCCCTCCATGGGATGGGTATAGTAGAACGTGAATTCCAAAACTGCAGCCCTGGTGGTCCAGAACGTCAAGTGTGGCATCCTCCACCTGCACCTCATCTATGGGGTACGCGTGGTCCAGCTGCCTTGCCTCCCTGTGGGCACTCAGGCACACCTGGGGCGCCCGCTAGTCACTAGACACTGGCACCTCATGGAGGTGGCAGGCCCCTGAGGTAGGCGGAGGCTTCGGCCCCCACGCTGCAGCCGGTGCCCAGCCCGCTGAGGTGAAAGGGCCCCCAGGGGCAGCTCTCTGCTCTTAGCAGGAGGGAGAGCTCACCGTGGAGGCACGGCCCAGACACCCTCCCTGGGATGGAGGGCCGCGGGGGCAGGCGGCCTACGCGCCCAGCGGCTGGAGGCCTGGCCACCCCATCTTTCACATCCTCCTCCCTCCAGATATCCATGTCCAAGTCTTAGGTCATCCATTCTTGGCTCTCGTCTTTGTAACTCTATGAAGGCCTGTCTTCAAACTGGCTCCATGCATGGGGGAGGACTGTACAGCTTTCAAGAGGAAGAAATCCACCCCAGAAGCCATCTGCCAGCTCCCAGGCCACGACGTGGACAAGCTGGGGTGGTGCCTCTAGGGCACGGAGCGTGGAGGCCGCTGACAGGGGAGAGGTGAACAGTGCCCCTCGCCATGGCCAGGCGGCCCAGCCCGCCCTGAGTGCTGCTGGGCCTGCCGACAGCGCACCGCAGAGGTCCCAGGGCTGGGGGTCGCTGCCCAGTGAGGCAGATGGCCAGCACTGCATGCTGGCAGGGAAGCCCTGGCATATTCAGGCCACAGATCTCCTGGAAGAGCGTGTTGGGGGGGGTGTGCACGCGTGTGCACATGTGCACATGTGTAACTGGTGGTGCTGGGGATTGAGTTTCTGGCCTTGTGTGTGCTAGGTGAGCATCTACCACCAGCCAGTTAAGCCAGGGGGGTCTAAACTGCCACAAATCTCCCTTCTGTCACCATGGGGGATGAATGGGTGGAGATGGGCAGGCTTTTGTCCCCTTGTGGCTGGACTAGAGAGCATAGGACATTAACTGAACCAAAGTGGGGTCCTCCCGTGACACATAGGAGAGCATCGCAGGCTCTCCTTCCCCTGTGTGGGGCTAGGCTGCTATGCGTTGGACCCGAGGCCAGGAGGATGCCTAGAACCATCCACAGACTCTCCCTCCTAGGCTTTCTGTCTGCGTGTTGCACCCATCACTCCTGCACTATCACACAGCATACATAGACACACAAGTGCACAGATGTGTGTGCAGACACACGTTGCCTCCTGGACCAGCCCCCAGCTCCGTTCTGAAGCTCTGCCCACCCCA